AAAAAAAAGAAGTCGAGGAAGGAAAAGTATGTTTAGGAAGACGTGTGGTTTTGGAAGAAATTGTACAATTATGTTTGACATGAGTGAATGATTCAATGATATGCCATATGTATTGGCTCCAAAATTATAACAAATTTAAAAAAACCCAAAAAACACAAGGGCATATATCCAGGAATGGGTTTTGGGCCTGTACCAAATCTGAGCTCCAACTTAAGAACACTCAGTTCCTACATCGTGGTTCTCCTCAACACTCCCCTTTGTGAAATGATCACTGAAGATAATGGTGCTGCAGCAAAGTGTGGTGAAGAAAGCAGATGGTGCCCGGCGATCAATTGGAATAGTGTCTGGGGTCTTAAAGGTTTGTATTAAACAAGCAGCCAGCTAAGCGAGGACTCAATTAAACCAACAGAGGAAGCACGCAAGCTGGTGCGATCTAAGGATGACAATGACAAGATTCGAATGTGGTGAGGAGAAAAGCATCCGAGCCAAAACCATGAATTCCCAATTGGTGGAAGGCGGTGGGGACGGTGGGAGCCCGACCCCCATCTGCTGGGAATCCAGTCAGACAGGTCCACTGGCAGATTCGCTCTGGCCACAGGCGAGAGTCTCAAACAGCTTACTATCAGGCAGAGACCATTGTGATTCTGATTACCCTGGATCGAACTCCTGTAGACACACCTGAATCTGTTCTGGATGCTTGTATCTCTTACTGGTTCCCTGACAGAAATGTCTTCCCTGGCTTTCTGAATGTTGTTGGGGGTCTTTTCCTTCTTATGCATTGTTTGTATTTTTGTCTGTACGCTATTATGTTTTTAGCCTTACCACTTTGTGTGGTTTTGTTTGTTATTGTTATTGTTCGGTCTCCCTGATGTGAAACACAGGAGGATGTATGCATAATGATAATAACTGACAAAAGAGACATAGGGAATGCATGGGTGGGGGGTGGATGATAGGGAGGGGAAGGAAATTATGGGAGCAAATAATGTAGACAGGAGGGGGGAGGGAGCACTAGAACAGATTATGATTGCATAACTCATCTTAAAGGCAATTTAACCATCAAGGGGGGTGGGGGGGAGGATGCTCTAAAATTGAAGTGGGGGTGATTGTACAATTCTTGATATGATTGAAAGATTGAACTATTGGATTATATAATATGTAAATTATATACCAATAAACCTCGGGGGAAAAAAGAATTTTAGTCAAGTATAATTAATTGGCTACTTTCTTCTGGGATATACTTTCTACCTGCTTCAATTCCTTAATATCACTGTATTTTTACATTTGCAGGTACTGAATATATATGTTCTTGATGATGATATTCCTGAGCTCAATGAGTATTTCCGTGTGACCTTGGTGTCTGCTGTGTCTGGAGATGGGAAAGTAGGCTCCACTCCTACCAGTGGTGCAAGCCTAGATCGTGAGAAAGAAACGACAGACATCACCATCAAAGCTAGTGACCATCCATACGGTAACCCACCCCTTGTGCAAATGCAGGTTTCTCTTCTCTAAGGGGGACTCAGGTTCGCTGAGAACCACCTAGGAGATTTCTGAATAATTGAAGTAGAATTCCTCAGACGTTTAAAAACCTACGCTGCCATCGTGAGGAATATTGTTTACTAAAGCAAATGTGAAGATCTTTTCCTAAACTTTAATAATATGATGATTTGGATATTTAAGGTACAGTTACGTGAATTGAACAAAATTGCTTCATCTGGCTATCACATTTTTAATTACCATACTATGATATGAAAACCTCTAAAGTGCTTTGTAATTTATAATTGGTTATGCTTCAAAAAGTATAATTATTATTGTATATTTATAGTAGCATCTTTTTATGAAAAGAGATAATTTGTTAATTTGTAAACTATCACAGACAATGATAATTTATTGAAAATTTTACCATTCTTAAGACTGTGCCAAAAGAATGCTCTTTTTTTTAACATTTTTTCTAAGTGAATGCCCTCCAAAAACTAGGGTGAGGTTAGAAATACTTGTGTAATATGGTTTCAAGGGATAAGAAATTCTCTCCTAGGTGAATGGGGAAAGAATGATGAGGCTACTTCTCTTTGTTTGCACCAGGCTTGCTGCAATTCTCCACAGGGCTGCCTCCCCAGCCGGAGGCTGTAATGACCCTGCCTGCGAGCAGCGTTCCGCACATCACTGTACAGGAGGAAGATGGAGAGATCCGGTTGCTGGTTGTCCGTGCCCAAGGACTCTTGGGGAGGGTGATGGTGGAATATAGGACGGTTTCATTGACAGCATTCAGTCCAGAGCACTACCAGGTAGCTCGTTTAATCTTTTTAAGGTCTATTTGCTTCTTAAAAGCAAACCTTAATACTTCTCTTGGAGAATTGGCAGGGGCTTGCACACTATGTAGAACACAGTCAATAAGGGCTACAAGCACTGGTGGCTTTCCAGCATTTTTACTTGATATAAATTAAGGTATTTTCATGGCTTAAAGACTAACATGATGCAGATAATTACCTTAGTGATTTCTTTTATACATGTAACGAACATTACTTATTTTAATGTTACAAGTTTTGGTTTAATTTATCGAAGATTACGTATTTCCCACACTTTAAACCCTCCTACTTACATCCATGTAGCCCTGGTGATGTAGTGGGTTAGTCTGCTGCAGGAAGGTCAGCAATTCAAAGTGACCAGTAGCTCTGAGACAGAAAGAAGAGGCTTTCTGCTCTCTTCGTGACTTACAGCCTCAGAAACGCAAAGGGGCAGTTATACTTTCTTCTGCAGGCTCTCGATGAGTTGGAAGTGTCCAGATGACAGTGCATTTACTTTCAGCCATCAAACCAAACTAAATTTTCAAAGAGAATGTATTTCCATTTCTTTTTAAATGATTCTTCACCTCAAGTGGTTTTCAGCACGTTACAAAGCAGAGCACTGTCATATGTAGAACCAGCAGAAGAGCCCCTCAGGGTGGAAGGCACTCAAAATCTGGCCGCGGAAGAGCTGCCCTCTCAGAGTAGAGCTGAGCACAGTGAGGTTCAGGAAATAAAGTCAGAGGGAATACAGCTTTTCGGATCTTCACTTGCTGATGAGGCATGACTCAAAATGAGAAGAAAGAGCTGCAAACATTGATTAATAATCAGGACTTAGGATATGTGAAATATGAATCTGGAAAAGTTGGAAGATATAAAAATGAAAAGGAATGCATACAGATACATAGTCTAGGCATTAATGAGCTGAAATAGATTGGTATTGGCCATTTTGAATCAGAAAATCATGTAGCTTACTATGCTAGGAGTGACAGATTTAAGAGGAATGGCGTTGCATTCATTGTCAAAAAGGACATTTCAAGATATATCTTGAACTACAATGCTCTCTGTGCTAGGATAATATCTATCAGCTTACTAGGAAATCCAGTTAATTTAACTTTTGTTCAAATGTGTGTACCAACAATTAAAGGTAATGGTGCAGAAATGGAAGAAATGAAAACAAATCTAGATGAGCCCAAATATGACTTTGAATATATTCCATTTGAACTTCAAGAACATCTCATGAACAGATTTGACACCTTGAATGCTATTGACAGAAGACTTGATGAGTTGTGGAATGACATCAAGAACATCATACATGAAGAAAGCAGCAGGTCATTAAAAAGACAGAAGAGAAAAAAGATCAAAGTGGATGTCAGAAGAGACTCTGAAACTTGCACATAATCACAGAGTAGCTAAGGCAAATGGAAGAAATGATGAAGTCAAAGAACTGAACAGAAAAGTTCAGAGAGAGCTTAAGAAAACGAAGTAAAAATAATAATTTATAAATCATCAAGGGTTTGTGAGGGGGAGGGGACGGAGAGGGAGAGGAAAAAATGAGGAGTTGATACCAAGGGCTCAAGTAGAAAGAAAATGTTTTGAGAATGACGATGGCAACAAATGTACAAATGTGCATGACACAATGTATGTATGTATGGATTGTGATAAGAGTTGTAGGAGCCCCCAATAAAATGATTTAAAAAAGAAAAAAAGAAGACAAAGTAAAATATTGTAATGTGCAAAAACCTAGAGTTAGAAACCCAAAAATGAAGATACATTCAGTATATCAAAAAATTAAAGAAATAAAGAAAAAAAATCAAGCCTTGAATTGCAATACTGAAAGATTCTATGGACAAAATATTGAATGATGCAGGAAGCATCAAAAGAAGATGGAAAAAGTTACACAGTCACTGTACCAGAAAAAGTGGTCAACAGTCCACCATTTCAGGTGGAGTTCCACTGTTTGCATTAGAGCAAGAACCAATGGTGCTGAAGGAAGAAGTTCAAGCTTCACTGAGTGTATTAGCCAAAACACAAGGCTACAGAACTTCATGGAAGGCCAACTGAGATGTTTCGATAAACGGATGAAGCACTGGATGCTCTCACTTGTCAATGCCAAGACGTCGGGAAGGCAGCCACCTGGCAAACCGACGGAAAGTGGTCCATATTTGTACCAATTCCAAAAACATGACCCAGCCGAGGGCCAACATTTTAGAACAATATCATTAATATCACATGCAAGTAAAATGATACTGAAGGTCATTCAAAAACAATTGCAACAGTACATCAACGGGAGCTACCAGAAATTCAAGAAGATTCAGACTAGCACAGGCACCCTCAAACATGACCGGCGGGGCACACATGGTCCGCCGAGGACATTTATCTGGCCCGGTGGGTGTTTTTGCCCCGTTTGTTTTTTTACTTCAAAATAAGATATGTGCAGTGTGCATAGGAATTTGTTCATAGTTTTTTTAAAACTATAATCCGGCCCTCCAACGGGTCTGAGGGACAGTGATAAAAAGTTTGAGGACCCCTGGACTGGAACACGAAACAAGGGAAAGTTGATGTCAGGTGAAACTTGGCTAAAAACATAGAATGTCAGAAATGTGCTTACTGGTGTTTTATTGACTATACCAAGCCATTTGACTATGGAGATTATAAGAAACTTTGCATAGCTTTGTGAAAAATGAGAATTCCAAACCTCTGTGTGTGTGTGTGTGTGTGTGTGTGCGCGTGTGTGCTGATGTGAAACCTGAAAAGGGGCCTGGAGACAATAGTTCTGACAAAACACGTGGATCCTGCATGGTTTAAAATCAGGAAACGTGAGCATGGGAGTTGTATCAGAGAACCTAGACTATATTAGTATGCAAGGGAGGCTTATTAACAGTCTGCAATATGCAGATGACACAACTGGCCGTGAGGAGGACTTGAAGCACTTGCTGATAAAGATAAAAATTTCAGCCTTCAGTGTGGATTACAACTCAATGTAATGGAAATCAAAATCCTCCTAACTGGATTAATAGGTAACATCATGATAAGTGGAATCAAGATCTTGATTGGATCCAGTATCAATGTAAGCACATGGAAGCAGCAGTCAGGAGATCAAATTAGACATTGCACTGGGTAAATCAGATGCACAAGTCATGGTATTTGCAGTTGCCTCCTATGCATGTGAAAGTTGGACATTGATCCATTTGGATTATAGTGCTGGTGAAGAATATTGAAAGTACTTTGAATTACCAAAAGAATCAACAAATCTGTATTGGGAGAGATACAGGCAGAATGGTTCTTAGAAGCAAGGATGGCATGATTTACTTTGGACATGCTGTCAGGAGCGATCAGTCCCTGGAAAAGGACTTTATGCATGGCAAAGCAAGGGCAACGAAACAAAGGGAGACTGTTAAGGAGACAGATTGACACACTGAACTCAGACTTAACAACTGTGAAGCCTCTACAGGACCAGGCAGTGTTTTGTTCTCGTGTATAGAGCCACTGTGAGTTTGAACTGACTTTTGGCACTTAACAACAACAACAAAAGTATGAGTTCGCTTCCAAGTGTTTGTGGGAAAATATATCTTTAAATTCCTTTTCTTTCACAATTGTTTTTGAGGCCCCCTCATATTTAATCAGGAGAATTCCTTTTATTTCTCTAAAAATAATTCTTTAGGAATTTAAGAATATCATATATTAAGATTATCATTTGCCTTGGCTACTTTTTAGATGAGTAAAAAAATCTTTCTGGTTTATTTAATTGAAAAATATTAAGTTACTATTTATATTAAATTTTTTTCATGACATTGCATATTATCAATTTTATTTTTTTAGTTAGGCCTCTCTGATATGTAACAAATTGGAACATAACAACTGTTCTCACATTGTAAGTTCATATACAAAATAATTATAACAACGGAATAGTGTTGTATTTGTTTTTCAGAGTGTTGCTGGTACCTTAGAATTTCAACCAGGAGAAAGATATAAATACATTTGTGTTAACATCACTGATAATTCTATCCCTGAATTGGAAAAATCTTTTAAAGTTGAATTGTTAAATTCTGAGGGAGGAGGTAAGTTTAGTGATTCAACATTTTCAAATATTTGCCTTTCCACTGGCTAAGATGATAGTAGATTTCACTAAGGAAATATGCACCTTTGAATGAACTTTAATACCGTTTTAAAGTGAATGAAGATCTAGTTTTTAGAGAGGGTGGCTTGATGACTAAGAATTGTACAAGGCTTATGGTGGAAACTTTCTGATTTTTAGTCCAATTCATTGGTTAAAAAATTGTCTCTACATAATTTTTGATACAGATTTAAAGAAATGTTTATTTAACTCATACTTTTATACACATACTTTTGCTGTTAGAATTCATCAATTCTGAATTAATATCTCTGTGTTTATTCTGCGGTCATCATTTTTCATGTGGTTTTGCTCTACTTATTACCTATTACTCTTAAAGTAGTTGTGCTTTTAGAACAAATAGAACTGCACTGAGTCACGAAATTACTGTGTCAGTAATAGGAGATGTCCATGCTGTACCTGTCTCCTGTCTTCTTTTTCCTCCCCTGCTTTTGACTTTAGAAACATTACCAAGTATAGCATAGGTTAAAATCTGAGCCAGTTAAATTATCTTTTACAACTTGGTTTTCAATGAAATAGGTTAAGAAGTTCTGAACCAATTTCTTTTTCCTCAATTCTAATATTCAAGAAGATGAATACTGAAGGTTTTTTGAATCTAAAACTCATTTTTTAGCAAAAACTCATCTGAATTGATATGAGGATATTTATGATTTTTATTTAACCCTGTTTAGACTGATTATTTTTGTTTCTGTGTAGGAGTACGTGTGTTTAATTATAAGATACTACTGGGAAGGTTATAGAATGCATGCACATGTACCACATATATGTGGACTTTTTTCGATCTCATATGTTTATGAAATTGAGGGTTGGTATGGTATGCATTAGAACATTCCCTTCTCTTATAAGACCTAGTACCCTTATTATGGAATGTCGTTTGATGAATATAAAGGTGAATAAAACTTCATGGTATTAAATAAGTTATCCAAAGGGAAAGATATATGTAGGACAGGAATTTTAAAAAGGTTTTGATTTTAGAATAAGTGGAACTTAGGGTATCTATGCAACAATCAGGAACCATGGTGGGGTTTTAAGATGTAAGCACTTAGCTTATCTGAGAGGTCTGTGGTTTGAATCCATCAGCTGCCTCAAAGGTGGAACGATGTGGACGTCTGTTTTGGTAAAGATTTGCAGCCTTAGACATCCATCCATTCTATGGGATGTTTCTCCTCTGTTCTGTGGGGTCTCTGTCAGTTTAAATCATCGATTCAACATCAACTTTTGTTGTTGTTGTTTGCAGCATTTCCCAAAAGTCCTGTTCCATGTTTCTAAAGCACAGGTAAAACATAGCAAGGAGACCTAGCAAGTTTGGGGGAGTAGAGAAGAGATTAAACTGTCACAACTTGGCTGAATGCATGGAAAAGTGGACATATGCTAGATGGCTTATTCAGCAGGTGTCATGTAAAAATACCAGCTTTGCTCATCTTCCAGAGACAAGTGCTCCCATTTCCAAATTATTATCTTTATGATATGAATTTCACTAATATAAAGGTCTCTGTAATGTGTTTGAAAAGTTGTTCTGTGTATCATTTATAGCCCAATACTAGCAACGTGTGTTAGTGATTATTACCTAGAATGAATTAACAAAGAAGTATCAGTTTATCCTCAGAAATTGTATTCATGATGATAGGGGTATTAGTGATTTTATATAAAATATTTTCTCCCAATATCTAGGGTAGACATTGTCATATTTCACTTACACATGGCTACTCATATGCAAACGAAATAATTTATTAGTAAACAATAATGGTGGGGAATCTAATTTTCTAATTAGTTGGAGTTGAAGGTGAAGGAATTGGATACTGGCCTCTATTCCTGGAGCATTCAAGAATCATAGGTGGGCACTGGATAATAGATGAAATAGCAGATCGATGCTAAATGATGCTGCAGGTCCAGGATGGATACCTTCTCCGACATTGTTAGGTTAGCCAAAGTACATTGAGGTTGAACTTTGAAGCACTTTCTCATGACTTTTAGCCCCCTCATATTTTAGATAATGTGGGAGCAAAATTATACCACTAGATAACTCTTGTAATTCCCTTTTGCCTTTTAAGTCTGTAAGGTGATTTTAGGTTCAGGGCAGCAAAAAAATCTCGTGTCTTTTACTTTCAATCATATTGAGGGAAAAGCAGAGCAGACATGACACAATGTCAGTCAAAGTACTGTTGTCCCCCTTCTTTCCCACTGCTATTTTCACAGCTCTCAGTATTGATAAAGTAACAACTGGGGTCTAAAAGGTATTTAAAGAGCCCTGGTGGTGCAGTGGTTAAACTATTTGAAAAGTATAACTTTCTTTTTATTAGATTCCTTATCTTTTGCCACCGAGCTTTTTTATGTTCAGTGTTTTTATTTTCCACTATTTTCTATGATCTGTACGATACTGTAAAAGATGGCCTCCTTTAGGGGTGAGAGAACCGGGGTTCCAAGGAGTGCAGTGAGTTGCTGAAGGGTTTATAGATAGTGTGCCTCATAACCAGGCCAGAAGCAAAGTACTTTAAACTTCATATCTAGGGCTCATTCACAAGGCTAGTGGGGAAGGGTATCGAAGTTGCGACTGATACATGTGGCAGAGATTTGAATGTGTGGCTGGAGGGAAATATTGGATATATTTTCCTGAGTGTAAGTAAGGCAGTTGTTGATTTGTGGGAGTGAGGTCACTTTTATAGGTATGTAGGCCTAAAAACACAGATTATATTTAAATTTTAATATTGATGATAGTAAATACATATTTAAATAATTATGCAGTATTAAAAACAATGCACATCGTGGTAAATAAGTCAACATTTAAAAATAAAATTAAATACGCAGAAATGGGAAATCCAAATTAAAATTTTTTCATGGGTTATTTCCTGAAATTTTGGTAAATTTTTGACATGCTTAATGCTATACTTTTGCCATTTGAAATAATTAATTTGCTATCGCAGGATGCCTTATTGGCTGAATATTACTACATTTTCCTCTTTGCTTGATATATTTTTAAGAACTGTCGATTTTCTCGTTGTGTCCATGTGTATTGTGTGGGTTGTGTCTCTGTCTGTCTCCTTGTGAAGTGGCTGAGCTGTTTAGGGTTGATGGCAGTGGTAGTGGTGATGGGGACATGGAACTCTTCCTCCCAACTATTCACAAACGCGGTAAGCAGCTCTGCGAAGGCCCTTGATTATCACACGTTTTCATTTCAATGCATTATTTCAGAGATAATAATAGTGGACACATACTATATATGGGCTCTTTACATATATCATAAAATTAAGTGTTACTGTCACTTCGTGCTGTTCTGTTGGCTCCTGTTATACTGTAGTCACCTACACAGGACGAAGTTAGACTTCCATCTCTGCCTGGCCCTGAAGTCCGCCCCTCCCTCCGCTACAGCAATCTATATATACTCACAGTCACATTTCGAAATAAGATCAATTAAATTTTATAAAATAGGTTTAATTTGATTTTTAAATATCATTTATGCTTTATTTCAACCAAGGATTGTGGATGTGTTTCTTGCTATGACTTATAAAAAACAAGTACTTAAAAACATTTTACATAGGTCTGATTACTCTAAAAATAGAAAAGTAATCCCTTTATAATTTCATTTGAAATACATCAAGCCGATCTCCTGTTTAAAAAATAAATACGTTGTTACATGTTATTCTTCCATACAGTAGCTACATGACTTCTTACATGTAGTATTTAATTGAACCAAATGGGGAACATTGAGTAAATAACTAGGAAATAAGTTTTCCCGTTAATGAGTGTGGCTATCAAAGGGAAGAGGAGGTTTGAAGTGTATGGGTATACAAATACGATCAAACATTTTTTTCCATAAGGATAACATAGTTAGAATATATGTTTATTGAGTAGAGCTCTAATGAACCTAAAATGTTGCTTTCTCAGAGTCAGGTTTTCGTTTTTGGGGTCAAAACTCATGTTTTCTCCCGCTGCTCGTTCCTAACTTCCATCTATGCCTCCTGTGGCCTCTGTGCTTGATTACTCTGTTCTGTTTGGAATCATGTACTCTTTTATGCAGATATAATAGCTACAATTGAAACTTGGATATACTTCTTAGAAAAAAAATAACTCTGTCTTTAGATCTTGACATTGTTTCAGATCCAAGAATGTAGTGCTTAAGACAGGAGAGACAGATTTATGCCATAATTTGACAATGAAAAGGCCTAGATGTTTAGAGAAACAAGTGTTTTCATAAAGGTAAGAGGCCTTTTGCCTCATGTTCTTCTGAGGTCAGCGAAGGTCGTGGGAGACCTTCCTCATTTAGTCTGTGTGGAAGAATGTTCTCTTTCATGGAGAAGAAAAAGAACAAGTTTTCCTTATTCATCTCCTCGTACTTATGTAGCTCTTGTTTATAACGTTGGTGCCAAAGTAGAGAGAGGTCATAAGTGCATGAATATGTGTGACAACCATTGATGCCTGTCCTTCTTTCTAAAACAAATTAGAGCTTACTCAATGAATGGAACGATTCTTTTGAAAAAAAGTAAGTTGTTCCGTTGGTTTGTAAATCACCGATTAACATTTTCTTGCTATTTGTTGGAACTTATTCATACAGCTAGTCTAGGAGCGGCTTCCCAAATCCTAGTGACAATTGCGGCTTCTGACCATGCTCACGGTGTCTTTGACTTCAGCCCACAGTCTCTCTTTGTCAGTGGGACTGAACCGGAAGATGGGCATAGCACTGTTATATTAAATGTGAGTACAATTGCCTTCATCATTTTTGGACACTTGCTGTTCTTTTAAAAATCTGCTTTATTGCACTATGAAATGTATTTTATTTATTTATGTACATATTTTTCTGTGTAGGAGGAGAATAAGTCTAATGACACAGACACTTCAAAATATCAATTAAATAGTGATATGCTATTTGTTTTTATATTTAGCTTTGCATATAGATTTGTCTTCTGAGAATTCACACCCCTTTAAGGAATATAATGGCACAGTACCACCGTTCTGTTTGCCGTAGATTTGTCTAGTAGCTTGTATTGGCTCTGTTAACAAGATTTCTCCAAAATCTCAATCTTGAAATACAACAAGATTTGTTTGTTTTTTTTACTTATGGCAGCTATGCAACTTAAGTTGACAAGGGGCTCTGATCATTGCAGTCACTTAGGACCAATGCCTACATCGAAGCAGGTTCTTCCACCATCACAAAGGGGAGAAAGCATGGTTGTGGAGAATTGCGTAGAGGCTCTTACAGCCTCTTTCTGGAACTCATTTACATGTTGTCCACTAACATTTCCTTTGTTAAATCACATGGATAAGTCTGTGGGTGGAGAAGCTAATTCTCTTCTTCTCATCTCGTGGAAAGAATGAAAATCTAGGACATCTGTCAGCAGCAATAGAAATAAGAACTCTGTGTGTGTGTGTGTGTATTCTACTTTGTTCCAAGTGGGAATTAAGCAGAATATTTTTATTATGTACTCAGAGGTGTCCCTCAGCTTTCTTTTGATTTCCTCCAGTTAATAAGTAAAAAACACTTGAGATATAACTCTTTAGTGCTCTTTTGATACATTTTCAATAATGTACTGAAGAATCAATGGAGCAACTTTACAAGGGAAAACTCCTCAGAGAAAAGAGAATGGGACAGTATTTTTAAATTATTTGGTAATTTTATTTTGAATTTACATTCATATTGTAAATGCATAACATTGCTTTTATTTGGGACTTATTTGGAGCATTTTTAAGCTCTGTGTTCTTAAGATATTGACAAAAGCATTTTTTCCTTCTTAGATGTATTTGTTTTCCTTTTGCCTAGACACATTTTAATGTAATTTTGATTTTTGCAATGTATTAAAGATAAAATTAAAATTAAATGTGATGTGTTTAAAAATATTTTGCAGTCAACTTTTTAGGAAACTGTCACTCATCAATTTCTTACAATGCAGTCTGAACCTATTTGAAGTAAATGTAAAGTTCCATGAGTATGCTTCAATGTAAAATATTATACT